TGCATTTATATTTCATGAAGCGTCATCTGCCAGTTCTTACCAATCAAAAAAATATGTACTTCTGGCAGCAGCTGTAGGTAGAACCCTCGAGGCGCTCACACACTTGTTTAGGATACCTGTGTTATCTAGCAATGTGATCAAGTTTTCTTTTGAAACACTGGTTTCCTGTTACCTGTGGGCATAATCGTGTATGTAAAAGTACTTAAAACAACAAAAAAGAATCTAAATTCAGGGAAGGCCCCATTGCTGCGAACAGATTTGTACCAGCTCCACAGTGGCTAGTGACCTACATAGGATTCCAGCAAAGGGGAGTTCTGATATTTGCAAACCAGGAAACAGCATCACCGGGCAATAAATCAAACATCCCTGAAACTGCCCTCAGTTACACCACTTCTCAGTACGAACTGCACGTGAATCAAGGTATTTTGTAATTTAACAGCAGGGGAGAAAATGAAATTTGGGTAACAGCAGAGGTTTCATATTCCATTTTATTTTTTTTGCTACTTTGTGTTGCTACTGTAAAAATAATTATTTTTAATAGCATAACATTTGCCTTTATGTCATTCTGCCATTTAAGATTTTTCCGAGTAAATGGAACCGGCTGCCCATTTCCTTAGAGCTACAATGCTTCAGTCTGTGCTCCAGCGATTTGGCTAGAAAGAACCAGTAAAGTACCAAAATGATGAGGGTGAGGATGATGATGCCATCTCCACTAAGATAAAATGAAAGTATTTAGGTTTGGTATGTCTAACGAACAGAAAGTTTTAACACGACATTCAAATTTTTCTCACTGTTAATCTAGTTATGATTATTAAAATGCCATTTTAAAGGCCAAGATGTGATTATTGCTGTTAGATTTTGTGACTGTAGAAGGTTCCATAAATTTTCACTTGCCCCAAATTATTATAAAGAACTTATATAAACATGTTTTACTGAGGTGTCCTGCCTTTCTACCAGGAATTTCAATTGCTCATATTTTCTGGACCTTGAAAACCTGTTTAAGTCAAGATAGGTTATCATTTGCCTTGTGTCCATCCAGCAAATTTGGTTTACCAGAAAGGATCTCTTTCACTATTGAAATATGAATTTGGCTTCAGAAATCACACAAGAATGAGCTTGTTGAACTCATTATAACTTGGGCAATCACCACAGGAGTCATCATTTTAAAGTTAAAAGAATATACAGCACTTGGTTCACTTTAAATGAGCCTACATTTTGTATTTCTACTTTTGTGGGTTTTTTTTTTTTAACTGTTCATTATTAAGACAATTTCTGGATAATATTTTTCCCAGGAAAATAATATTTGAATTATAAGTCAAACAGTCATCCTCTGCACCACTGCTGTGAATTCAAGAAGAAAAACGTTTGCAAAGGATTAAATAAACCATTATGACCAATTGCAATCGTTGGAGGGACATACTAGGACTAATAATGTTAAATATCTTTATTTGTAAGACGGGTACATAGTACAACAGCCATCTTGGCTGTTAACTGTTAACTAGAGTTTGCATACTGCTTTGCATTTTGCAGAAGGCTTTCAATCACCTCCCAGTTATTTCTTCAGTCATCCTGGCCCCAACAAATCCAGTGCCTAACGTATGGCATATACCTAATGAATCCATCTTGAGTGAATAAAGAAATAAACAAGAGGCCTTATTTCTCTTCCCTTATGACAACTGAGGAATGGAGACTCAAAAGAGTGACACACTAAAGGATATGCCCTACAGTCAGGACTTGAATCTGTGTTTGGATTCCAGGTCACATGTCCTTTCTACTTCCCCAGCTGTGTTCTCCAGGAGGAATCCATATACTGATCTCAGAGGAATTCTCTGATTTATCTCCTAAAATCAAACCTTAAATCCATTACCTCTATCCTAAGAATCTAAATATTAAATCAACTGTGGCTTTCACTCACATTTGGGCTGAGAAGAATGGCCTGTGCTCTTTCCTGATGTTTCCCCACTCTGGTGAATTAGGCCACATAACACAGAAACTCACCTACCACTTTCCTAATAAAGACTTATACCAGAAAATAGCTCTAGTCAGCCCACATGCGTCTTTCCTCTGGGACTCATACTAAGGGATCCCACTTAAACTCCTTAAGAGAGTCCCCTGCGTTCCCTTCCTCAACTCTCTCCCAAAAAGTCCCTTCCCAGTCCTGAGGAATGGGGGAAGGGGCATTGTAAGGTGGCCTCACTGATATCTTTACTCATTCTTGATACACACTGGAGCATGTTGGAAAGAGAAAGGGGAAAGAAGGCTAAGAACACTCCACCGTCACCCTTCCCTTCTGCCACTTTTTCTGTCTCTTTAATTTACTCGTCTCTCTCCTCTTGTCATAAGCATCTCTGAAAGTCTTCCTTTCCCCTCCCTTCCCTTTCTTTCTTTGCCTTCTTTCTTGCTCCCTCACTAGCTCAACAAAAATCTGTTGCTAGATATTGGTGGGAAGTGGTCATCAGTCCATGGCCTTCTCTCTCTCTAAACTTATTCTGTAATTCTCATGGATGCAGTTGCCATTCATTCATTCACTCATTCAGTATTGAACGCCTGCAACATCCATGGCCCTGGGCTGGATGTGGTGTTAGCAAGACAAATAGACAAATCATGCATGGACCCTGACTTCAGGGTACTGAAGGGAGTTAAGGAAAGCACATACAGAACTGGGTAGGGACTGAGAAGGGCCATGAATGTGTGCAGAAATGGCTGTGGGAGTTCAAGGGTGGGACTCATGCCAGTTTTCATGGATGAGTTTCATTTGAAGTGAACCTGGAATAACAAGGAAGATTTAGATGTGTAATAAGAGAAAGGATTCCAGGTGGGAGAAGGCACTGAGGGAGGCAGCGTGGTGTAATGACAAGAGAGTGAGCTCTGGCTCACAGCAATCCAGACCTTGTTTTGAATTCCACGTCCACTATCCATTTGGCCCTGGCTGAGGCTTTTTAATAACCCCAAGGGTCAATTTCCTCATCTTTCAAATGGAGATTGTCCATAACAACAAAAAAATAAAGCATGTAGCACACGCTGGGTGCTCTCTTAAGGACAGCCGTTGCTATTGAGCAAGAGTAGAGAGACACGGGGTGTGAAGAATGGTCAACAAGGTCAGGGATTTAGTGGTTAGTACACGGTACTGAGTCCTAGATTTTCATCACTAGTCTCTTCCCAGACTGATGTTATATCAGGACTTCATGTATTATGTCATCACCTGACACTCTTAAACTGAACATAATCTCTTCTCCAAAATCAGCTCCGCTTTATAACTTTCTCATGTTAATCAATGATAATATCTTCTAGGTTCTAACCGCAATTCTCCTAATTCACCAAACATGGTCTGAATTATCCAGGCACTCTCTAAATCTATCTCTGCATACTTATTCAGCTGGATTTCCACCACTCTCCAACACACACCATTCATTTTAGTCTGACTCTTGCTTTCATATATACATGCCAAACTCATTCTCACTTCCATACCTTTGTATTATTGTTCAATCTCCCTTCATTCTTCAGGGTCCCTTTTATAGATAATTGCAGAAGGAAAGTTACTTCTCCAAAGCCCCTCTGCATGGCTGTCATATGTCTATCTTTGACTCACCCCAAATATCCATAAATAAAGTCATGGTACCAACGAACCAATTTTATCTCCTTTATGTGTTGACAAAGGCTTCCTTCTCAACTGGACTCCAGTCAGACTCCTCTGAGTCTTCTTCTCGACTAGGCCCGCTGAGCCCAGTTTTAGCAAAGAATGCTGCTAAGTCAGTTTATGGAGACCAACCCCCCCATATCTGATCATGTTCCCATGCCCCACCCTTGATATCTGGCCTGTCTTCAGCAAGAATCCTGGTAAGCTAGTTTAGCAAGAATCCCCCCTACCCTTGATATATAATCAATTTCCTTTGATATTAATTTTCTACCTACTGATCCCCTTACTCTGCTCATTGGATGTAGATCCATAGCTGTCTTTGCTGTATTTGGAGTTAAGTTCAATCTTCTCTATTGCAATAGTCTTGATCTTGGATAAAGTCTTCCTTATCATTTTTAACAAATGTCAGAACAATTTTTCTTTTCCAGTATTTTAGTCTCTAGAAAGATTCCCTCCTGAATTTTAGCCTAGCCAAAGGGCAGAAACCTTCCCAAAATAATTCCTCCTGTACTTTGAGGGGTTGGGGATGGTGGGCTCAAAACTGCAGACTTCACCATTTCCATGCACATGTATTTTGGGTCATTTTGTCTATTTGGGAAATTTGGGGCCCTTAAGAATAAAATAGGCCCTTTCTGAAATGTTTGCTTGGGAGCTTTGAATTTAAACTTCTGTCGGGGTTATCAGACAAAGATTGGTCTGGACTGAATTTGAAATGGGCTATAGAACCTTTTCCTGCATGTTTAAGAAACTAGTACATTTCCCCAGCATGCAGTAAACAAAGAGGTAACAATTCTACTCCTGAAACTAATATTACACTGTATGTTAACTAACTGGAATTTAAATAAAAACTTGAAACCACAAAAAAAAAAAGAAATAGGTAACAAATATATGAACAAAAAAGTTATAAATATCTTAAGGAAAAAAGAAGACAGGTATTCTTCAAATTGCTTTTATTATACAGTTAAAATATGATTAATTATAAGTATCTAGTCTATTTTCACACAATTGATCGGGAGCACACACTGGTAAAAACATGCACTGGGTAAGAATCATTGTTGGTACATAAACACACACCGGGAGTGGGCATGAAAACAATACAATCAAGTACTTAGGGTAGTCTCAAAATAGCCTTCAACTGACATTCATGTGTATTTCCTAGTTTAGATTGTGTTAGAAATATGACATCTACTCTGAGAGCCAATTGCCATAACAGAAGAGGGAAGAACTGTGGGCAAAAATGCAGTAGATTTTTAGTTATAGCCTAAGGTTTAGCTTTGGCACATTGTAAGTGTCATATTTTCCTATTAATTTCTGAATCTGTGAACAAACCTAAAATTCATTCTTTAATGAAATCCTTGCTCATAGTATACCATATTTTTCTAATATTTGTGGGAAAACACAACCACAGTTTTGTTTTATATGATTGGTTTTGGACTTTCCATTATTCCTCAAGGGAAAGGTATTATCCAAATATTTTTCCAGAAGAAGAAAGAAATCACATGTAAACCTAACATATTCTTATTACATTTTTACTATGGCAAGTAGTCATTCACAATTTGAAATGATCATTACCTTTCTAAGCAGCACTGCATTTTTTTTTTTGCCTTCTTTGTTTACTTTTCTTGCCTTGAATAGAGTGTCATTTCTCATTAAGATGCCTCGTAGGGTCCATTTGGGAGACACATGAGATCAAGATTTTACTTTTAATATTTTATCAGCATAAGATAAACATAAAGTATATAAAAATTGAGCCTGCTTATGTCAAAACCTAAATTACATTTTACAAGGGCGCCCATTTGGCTCACAAGACGTTTGCTGAAAACATACTGTGTGTGATATTTGTGTCAAAAATATATTCATTTATTATGAGCCCTTTATTGTTTAACATTACGAACAAATACTATTCACAAAATAAACCAGTGCTACCAAAGTTCTCATTGGAATTGTTTGTTTTTCCTTTTTTCCCCCTAAAACTCAAAATCTGTTAGCAGGAAATGAGTCAGGTTGTATGAATCATCTGATCCACAACGATTCCATCCATGAAAAAATAAATAAATACAATGTAGAAATAAATAGCTTTGTAGTAAAATATAAAGGTGTTTGCCCTTTGTCAAATAAATAAATAGCATGATTTCATTTTGCCTTATTCTTTCATGTGACCTAGTAAATGAGTTTTTTAGCTGCCAGAAGGGTGTTCTTCAGAAGCATTGCCACCGTCATGGGTCCCACACCTCCCGGAACCGGAGTGATACAGCTAGCCTTCTTCTTAACAGCTGATGGAGAAAACAGAAAGCCGTCTTTATTTTTACAATTTTCTGAGAATTTCGTATTTTTAAATAACTAGTTAAAAGATAAACTGAGGCATATAAAACATTTTTTTAAAGATTTCTTTTTAAGTAATCTTTACACCCAACATGGGGCTCAAACTTATAACCTTGAGATCAAGCGTCACACGCTCAGGGCGCCTGGGTGGCTCAGTGGGTTAAGCGTCTGCCTTCGGCTCAGGTCATGATCCCAGGGTCCTGGGATTGAGCCCCACATCGGGCTCCCTGCTCAGCGGGGAGCCTGCTTCTCCCTCTCCCTCTGCCCCTCTCTTGTCTCTCTCTCTCTCTCTGTCAAATAAATAAATAAAATCTTCAAAAAAAGGAAGAGTCGCATGCTCTACCGACTGAGCCAGCCATGCACCCTACAAGTTTTTAAGAGTTTATTCAGGCATTTATCAATCTGAATTGGACAGCAGCAAACTGGAAGTGGTCAGCAGTGCTCCACCAACGAGGAGCTGGCGAGAGACTCTTAAGAGGTGGAAACAAAGCAAGGTCATTGTGGATCGGCTATCACTTAAAGCCTAATTGGCTGTATGTGACTGGTTGTCCTCAGGTTTTGATTTTGTAACCTTGGGGCATTTATAGGCTTAGATTTTGGTTTGCTTACACAGGCTGCCATGGCGTGAGAGCCCCAGGAGTCTAACAGCCTCTTTGTTTAATGAATTTAAGGGAGTATAGTGGATTTTTCTGCATTACACATATAAATCCAAGAACCTCAAAGCATTTTTAGAATGAGGTAGCCTATAAACACTCACACACTTAGGCAAACAATCCTGTGTACGTTATCTAATCAGCCTAAGAAGTAGGTTGAATCTCCATGCAGTTGGTTTTACATGATGAAAATCTATAACCCATGAGGGACCCCACTACCTGTAATTCCAGTTAACTACTTCTGAAATACATGATACTCGTCACAAAGGGGGAACAAGATATAGACAGTTCAGCACACACCATTCGTTAAATTGATAAATTCCTGTTTTAACAACAGCGTCACTTATGTGTGGATAACACATTCCAGTGCACGTCTAATAAAAGTCACGAAACATATTTGAATTACTGAGCATATACACATAGTCCTGTTCTAAGGTATGCAGACTTCTTATTCAGTGAGTAGACTCAAAGAAAATGACAGAGAACTTTCAGGAAGTTTTATTTAAGAATGTTTTCACACCCACATTATTACACGTGAATGGCCCCATGCTTTGACGGGCTGGTTTTATGTTTCACCATGTGAATATGAACAATGACGTTTTCTCAGATAACTCTTTCACAAAGTTAGCATCGACAATACTTCTTTAATGCATACTCTGACATTATTGTCACACGTTATTTAGATGGATGGCCTTTTACAAGTTTGCTCAGGTATGCTTCTATAGGAAGCAAAACTAACAGATGTTTTCTAGATCTCAAGGATTATTTTTTGTACCATTTATATTGCCTTCTTGAAATAGGGTTTGTAAAATTCACACTTACCTTATTTGAAGTTTAATAGTACACTAGAATTTTTTTAATCACAGGAAGGGCAAAGGAAGAGTATTCTTTTGCTTAAGTACAAGTAAGCTTAAAGACAGCACAAAAAAGTAAAAAAATCCAGCTAGTATGTATTATCAATCTTCTCATGGTGCGTAAAAAAGACAAGATAAAGAATACTTATGATTCGGACAGTAACGGATTAGTTTTCCAAAAAGCCCCTCTGCACACGAACATTCCTATTCTCTCGCCACCCTTGCATCCAACGTCAAACACTAGGCTAGGTCACTAGCCATTCCACAAATAGCTATGAATTAGCAATCCTTTCCTCCTTTGCTCTAGCTATTCCTTCTACCTGGAATACTCTTCTATTTTATCCAAATAAGAATATCCTTATTATTCTTTAAAAGTCAATAAAATGTTACCTGGCTATAATTTTTCTCAAAAACTCACCCCTCCAATGTTGAATTAAAAGCCCCACCACCTGTGTGTTTCCAGTAACTTTCTACATAACTCTGTTATGGACATGAACACACTGTGGTGTCTGTCCTGTTAACCTGGCACTGGCACCAGGATGGGAGCAGCCAGGACTTCACAGCTGGGGCTGTCACCACTGGGTTTAACCTTAGAGTCTCTCCATGTACAGGTCAGGCATTCAGTAAATTCTGATACAGTGAACTAAATAGTCCTTGAAATTTATTTTTTTATTTTTATTTTTAAAAGATTTTATTTATTTATTCATCAGAGAGAGAGAGCGAGCGAGAGAGCGCACAAGCAGGGGGAGCGGCAGGCAGAGGGAGAGGGAGAGGGAGAAGCAGGCTCCCCGAGGAGCAGGGAGCCCGATGCGGGGCTCGATCCCAGGACCCTGCGATCACGACCTGAGCCGAAGGCAGACGCTTAGCCGACTGAGCCACCCAGGTATTCCTAGCCCTTGAAATTTAAAATCTAAAATCAATTTGCAGGAATGTGTCAGTGGATACAAACAATTTCGTTCAAGCTAATTCACTGAAAACCTCAAGCTACCTTCCAGGATCTTTACTATAGAATTGGAAAAGCCATGCCCTTAAAATATCAACGGATCTCTAGAAGAAATGTACTATGCTACTACTCTTTATTCTGATAGTATTTAAAATCATATATTTGTAAAGTACTGACTTTGAAATATCAGTGGGTAAAAATAAAAGACGACTGGATGTTATGGTAAATGAAGAACCAAGTACGAACTAAATCTTCAATGGAAAACAGAATGGTTCATTTCACAATCAAAAGGTAGATAAAATTCATCATGTCAGGGAATCTGCTATGGGTAAATAGTCATTTTATATAATGTGGTTTTCAACTTTGAAAGGTAAAGTGGCTTGGAATTATGCATATGTAAAAAAAACAGTGATAACCAAAAGAAAAAAAATAGTGATAACCATAGCCACTATCAGTTGAATACCTGCTATTTACCGAGAACTTTATAAATATGATTTTAAAAATTCCTATGGGATTGTTATTTCATTTTAATAGATGGAGAAAGTGTGTCTCCCTGAAGTTAGAGTGACTTACCACTCCCTTATATGGTAGAGACATGATTTACAGCCATGTTTGAAACATTCTACCGCTCCAGAATTCCACCCCATCCCAATGCAACCGTATTACCATGACCCGAATAAGTAGAAAAGTCCCAAGAAAGGCTCATATGCCAAAAATTAATGCAGTTTTCTCAAAGGGTTTGGAGGAGAGTCTGAAAAAAGAAACAAGGAAGAAAGTTCTAATAAAGTAACTTTCCTACATTTTTACTCCAAGTACTCACAGCTCATCATCTCTGAATTACATACAGCACCTCAAATTGCACAGCTGGCTGAGCAGTCTGAGTTGCTTTCTTCCCGGGGGTCAGATCAGATAAACCACTGGTGTGCTCAGGTATCATGACACTCCTCTTCCAAATTAGGATTTTTCACAATATGCTTACTCTTGTGTTCTTTTGCTCAAAAAAACTGAGGTTTGGGATGAAGGGAGAGGGATGAGGAATGAATGAGCTGTTGCATGAAACCATACCTGTCTGAAATCTGTAGCTTGGGCCTGCTTTTTTGCACACTTTACTGCTAGAAAGTAACACACATTTATCTTGTCTTGCCCACCACTTCACAGAAATACACTATGTGATGGGTAGTGGCTGCCCTAGCCCCGGCTACGGCTTCCCTGGACATTCGCAAGCATTCAGTTGCATCAACGGAGCCCCATACATTACTCACTAAGCAGAAGATTATATCACTATGAACATACCTGGCTATTCAAACACTGTTTCAAATATTTTTTTTAATCTTTGAAACAAAGTGGGTGAATATGAGAATTAAGTTTGTATACAGTCACGAGAAGTCAACTGTGATGAGTATGACGGGAAAAAAAAAACTCATATAAAGTCTCTATCCATTTTGATTTGATTTTCAGGAGAATCTATATCTGAGAAAGAAATATAAGTTTATCTGCCACTGGCTAGGGTTAATGTATCGTTTATTTACATAAGAACCAGGATGTGGAAGTACTGATTTCTCAAGAAAGGTAGGGAATTATCATTGGCAAATGCCAGTGGGTACAGATGCCAATGCTCAAAAGAAATTCTCTAGTCTAGTGATTTTGCATAACTATCTCAGGGCTGTCCTACATGACATGTTTACGAAGCGTCGGAAGTGGCTTGTGAGCTAAAATTAGTCATGTGAGAAAGAGTTAAATTCAATATGTTTGATGCTCTGAAAAGCATCTTCCCCAATCATGTCTGCAAGAGAGTAAGTTAACAAGCATTACCTCACCAGAATAATCTCTCATTGGCTGGTCTTTCCCTGAGGGCAGACAAAGGTTTGCACCTGCTTGTAGAAGATGATGCTTTTAAAGATTAATCCTATTATGTGTGGGGAAAAGTGTTCTATATGCTCTATTGAAATGAATTACAAAAGCACTTTAAGGCAATAATTTCCTTCAGAGACTTATTTACTCTGTGTTTAGGTGTGAGGGAGTACGTGTGTGTGTTAAGGAAAATGCCAAAAATTCTGCATGGATGAGAACCAGGTACAGGCTCCCCCCTGCTATCCAGAAGTACAGCATTCCTAGGAAACCTTCCATAAGCCAAAATGGTGTAACTGAAGAAGCATATGCCATTAATTTATAGGGAAAAAAGGTTGAGCATGCCCAGACCTAAAAGATAACCTTTCTTTGGCTTTTCTGACATCTTAGGGCATCTCTTGCTAACAGATGCACAAAATAAATGGGGATAATCCAGCCGCCATCTATCTGCTCACAGATATGCTCACAAACACCATTCACAGCTCTGGCGGCTGGATGCTGACATGCTGAGTGCAGTTCCCGGGGAAGAGTGTGGCGGGGCCCCTCTCTCTGCTGAGGGTGCGCAATGCCTCTGCAATGCTCACTGCGAAGCAAATGCTGAACGCTCTTTTGCTTTACACCTTTTCTTTCTTTTTCTTTCCTTTTTTCTTTTT